GTTGAACACCGGAGCAATGGGAAAACCTGGCCCAGCACCTCAGGGCTGCTCTGCTCAAGAGCCTTTGAGCACACCCCAAATCCTGCTTGGCTGTGCTGGGTTTGGGCACTGTCGCTCTGCGCGGATGCTCCTCGTCATGCCTTAGCAAAGATGGGCTGAATGGGAAGGGAAAATTGCTCCCTGCAGTTTGCTTTCTCAGCCAGCTGTCTGTGAACAGCACAGGATTGCTGTCCCGGGCCAGGGAACAGGAACAAACTGGGAACAAACAGGGAACAGGAACAGGCTGTGCCTGCAGGAAGGAGCTCCGCGGTCCCACTGCCCTGAGCCACTCCTGCTGCTGCTGCTGCTGCTGCTGCAGGAGATGCTGTCAGCCACGGGCGCAGAGCTGCCGGCAGGACAGGCAGCAAGGGCTTTGGGATCACCCAGTTCCAAAGGGTAACATCCAGTCCAGCTCCCTCTCAGGTGCTGGGGTCACCTTTGGGATCAGTTTTGTTCATGGTCTCAGCTCTGACTTGGTGCATCCCAGGTGATCGAATCCAGGATGGTTTTCTTTGGCTTGAAAGCAGAGCTGAAACCACAGAGTTTGTGTAGTAGTCTCCAAAAATCACCTTCAGTGTGCTGACATGCCTGTGGCATTGTCTATCCAGGGATCAGGAGGAATTTCACAAATGAAGCCAGGGCAGGGTTGTGATCTCTGTGCCAATGGGAGAAACTGAGGCAGAGAGAGAACCAGTGATTTACCCAAGGTCCACAATGAGGCCTTGGCCACCTGGGAAAGGTGTAAGGAGCACCTGGATCCTAAACCTCTTTAGTCCAAGACCTGTTTGCCAGTTCTGTCAGCAGCCCCTGTGTTTCCCAGGGCTCCCCAGAGGACCTGATTTAAGGCATGTGGACAACAGCATTACCTAATTCTGCTCTTTTATACCCAGGCCTCTGTGAGAGTAGAACTAGTCTGGCATGCTTGAGTTTTAATTATTTTTTTTTAAGCAGAGATTTTAAGATTTAGTATTTCTGGAGTTCAAAGGTGAACAGGCCTGCATGAATAATTTCTGATTCCATTTGCTGCTGCTAGTACTAAGTTTTGCCAAAAGCAGCTTTTAATGGCAAGTCAACCCCATCAGTCTTGAAGGGTCTGTGATATGTGTAGAGATATGAAAATTCCCAGGAAAGGGTATTTCAAGTGCTGTAGTAACCTTCTGTAACTTTGACTGTGTTATTTTAATGGAACTTTGCTTGCCTATGCACCATTTCTCTAGGAATGTAAAAATCCAACAACCATCACAAAAGCCATTCACATTAGCAGCCTCCTTGTGAATTTTAATTAACAGGAAATGCCACTCATTGAAATTCAACATCCAGAATATCTCTGCTTTACTCCTTTGATGTTCCCCATCAAGTCCTGGACTAACATCCATATGTTCTCCTGAGACACTCGGAAGAAAATAAGTTTGGTTTATTTGTAGTAGGAAAGCATTTCATCGTTGTCTTTTATCCCAGAAGCATTCGAGTTGCTTTACAAACTGTTCACACGGAGGAGCTGCTCTGTGGGTCCTTACAGCAGGGAGTGAGTCCAAAGCTGTGCTCATCAGTTTGCACTCAGCAGCAATGCTGGAATCTCAGGAGAGGCAGGGTAAGAGTGGTGAAACAAGCGGAAGTCCAGCACGATAGGGAATTCAGCTATTACAGGTCAGACAGCTTTGATTCCCTTATCACATTTATCCCTTATAAAGGATGGTGCTGGGATTTTCCTATATTTCTACAATAGTTACCTAAGAAGACATGATCTGGCTCTCTGTTACTGTAAGTTGTTCATTTGCAAGTGATTTTAACAAACAAAGAGCCACCCCTAATTAATTAACCTTTCCTACACCCTCAATTTCTCAAATGGGCAGAATAATGTGATCAACAGATGATACTGCCATGGGGAATTATCTTCAGACTTAAATAATTCTATTTTAGCCCTTCATTCATCTTCTTTCTCAAGCTGTATAGTTCCTTTACCCCACCCTCTGCCTGGGGTACAGCCTTGCACCCCCTCCCATCCCTGTCACCATGACAAGGTGACACTGTCACCACAGATTGAACCTTCAGGTGGCACAGGCCCACCCCAGTCTGCACGCAGAACTGAGTTGAAAACCTCTGTCCTGGTGGGTACAAGCTCAGTGCTCATCCTTTATCCAGGTAAATCCAGGCTCTGCTTCCTGGCAATGACACCAAAGGAATCCTCTGCTGTCTCACAGTTCCAGCAAGCTGCTCACAGGCATGTGGGGCTCAGGCTCCTAAACCTAGTGCTAAAAGGTCAAAATTGGTGATGTTATAAAATTTTAGAGCTTGGGCTCTACAGAGACTGGAGCTTGTCAAGAAAGCAAATTCCTTTTATATCATCTGGAAATGACAAAGGGTGGGAAAAGGCACCTTGTAGCATCCCAGGAGGACACAGCATTGCTCCTTATCTTAGAACTCTCCCAGCCACAGAGTGGTTTTTTGCAGAACCAAAATGATCCCAGCCTCAGGGTCCCTGAGCAGAGCGTGACCACAAGATGTCACAGTTGCTTTGCTGCAATGCGTGGTCCTGCCCTTCCCGCGTCTCAGTCCTGCCCCTTTCTCACTCCCAGCCTTCAACCCCAGGTATCCCTATGAACACACACGCTGGTACTTGGGGGTTTTGCTGCTGTGTTTTTTTGTTGGATTTTTTTTGGCAAAACAAGCTTCTTCATTGTATTCTGGGCAAGGTTAGGCATTTAGGTTTCTAGCTCATATACAGGCCATTCATGGTACATAAAATCAAAGTTTCCCCAGGTTTATGCCCTTGCTGTAGGTCCAGCTGGCAGACAACAATTTTGAGTAGATCCAGAGGAAAAAAATCTAAGTATTTTCTTACTTACAAACAAACAGTTCTTGGTGCTGCCAGAGTTACTGCTCAGTGTCCCCCCAGACTTCAGGTGCCTTTGCCAGACGGTGTAGCAAACTCAGAAAATACCACAATGTTGTGGACTTGAGAGGTTTTTGTTCTTCATAGCCTATTGCTAAATGTATTTCTTTTTCTGCCCCAGAAAGCTGCCTGCATAGCCTGGATGGGGTCCCAGGGGCTGGTGCTAATACCAGTTCACTCTGAAGCAGAGCAAAAAAGGAGTTCAGCTGTAGAAGAAGCTGATGAGCCTTGCAGGATCCAGCTATGGGTCTTTTGGGGTTAGTCCCTTCTAGTGTGCACATTGAATTAAAGACCTAATTCATGGCCTGAGCAAGCAATTGCTATGGATGCTCCAAACAAACAGCACTTTCTTTCCTGCCCGCCTGGCTGGTGCCTCTGCCCGGCTGAAGCCAGGCAGAGTTTCTCATCTGGCCCCTGTGCTCCAGGGCACCAGGAGGAAAGCTTTGCTCCACCAGCCACACAGGAAAAATGAAACCCTCAGCTGCAAAGTGGAGCTGTGGAGTGGAGCAGCGAGGGCACAAGGGCAGAGGTTTGCTCTGCCTGCTGTGCTCCTCATTCCCAGTCCTTCAATTCCTGCCACTGCCATGGGATCCAGCCACAGTGCTGCTGTCCCACCTTTCTCTGGAGGGCAGAGCCCCACGTGCTTTGTCCCCAGGGTGGCTGGGACAGGGCTGACCTTGAGCCCTTTGCCCTTTCCCACCCAGGGGAGCATGAGAACATCCCGGGGGCCCAGCGGCTCCCAGCTGGCCTGGTTGGGACAGCAGGGGATGGGGTCCCACAGGGGATGGGCTCAGGGGCAGCTGGGGGAGCTGTGTCACCTCTGCCCACAAATGGTGGCTTAGCATGAGAGACTCTGGCCAAGGGGCAGGGGAGGCTCCTGTAACCCCTGAGCTCATAAATGAGGAGCAAACACTGTGGTTGTTGCTCATCTCCAGGTGAGCAGGTTTGGTGGCTGGAGCTCTGCTGGGCACATCCTGGGGCCTGGCAAGTTGGGGACTGCACATCCTGGCCTATGACCGTGTCCACAGGGGTCTTATGTTGAGGGAAGAGACGAGGATCTGATTTCATGTTTCAGAAGGCTGATTTATTATTTTATGATATATATTACATTAAAACTATACTAAAAGAATAGAAGAAAAATTTTCATCAGAAAGCTAGCTAAGCTAAGAATAGAAAGAATGATAACAAAAGTTTGTGGCTCAGACAAAGAGCCCGAGCCAGCTCACTGTGATTGGCCATTAATTACAAACAACTCTATAAGACCAATCCCAGATGCACCTGTTGCATTCCACAGCAGCAGACAATCAATGCTTACATTTCGTTCCTGAGGTCTCTCAGCTTCTCAGGAGGAAAAATCATAAGGAAAGGATTTTTCATTAAAAGATGTCTGCCACGCTGGCCTGTACATCTGGGAGCTTCTCAACAGTTTGGGAATCCTGACTGTGGCTGGGTTTTCTCTGCAGTGGATTTGATGGCTATCAGGAATTCAGAAAGGCTCAACATGAAAACTTCCTCTGCTAGGACTGTGAGATGAGCCTTGGAGCCGTTTGTGAACCCCACACACAGTTTCAGCAGGGAGCAGCAGCCTGTCAGAACAGATGAGCAGTTACCAGCTGGGTTGCTGGATCCTGCTGTGCCTTTTGTGCCCATATAGGGCATACATATAGAATATCTGAAAGAGGAAAAGGTCCCTTCCACCCTGAGAGAGATGCCAGCCCTGCTCACTGCTTGCTGGTGGGCAGTGGGAGGAGTAGTCATCTGATTTCCTCACATGGAATGATGACACCACAGGTTCCAGGATCCTTGTTCCATCTTTGTCAGCCCATGTGTCATTGTCTCTTTTTTTTTTCACCTATGTGTCATTAAAATAAGCCTTCTCTGCAATAAGGGTGAGACCAGAAAAAGTGTGAAGCCCAAGCAGTGCTGTGCATCCTGGCACTGTTCTGTAGTGCTGTTATTATTCTCCAGGCTTCACTCACCAGGTTTTGCACACTTCAGGGATTGCTGATCTGAATTGCCTTAAAACATCGTGGGTTTTGAGTCCTGCTTCTGTGGTGCTGCCTTGGTTTCCTACCCTGCCTCTCCCCACAGCCACACCGGGATCCTCTCTCAGAGCAGCAAGGCACTGGAACATGGAGAGTCCTTGGGCAAGTCTGGGGCACCTCACTGCCATTGGGTATGTAGAGAAAGCTTTATTCCCTCTCTTTCTCTCTGTCTTGATAGCTATTGTATGTCTTTTTCACAGAAAACCCCCTTTCCTAGCTAAAATTGTCCCTCAAGGGATAGCTGCGGCTGCTGTCCAGCAGTGGGACACAGGGATTGCCTGGCTGGGTTTAACCTCAGGACAGGCTCTTCTCCCCTCCAGGTTTTCTGGTTTCTGGAGAGTCACTCCAGATGTGAGGCCTGAGAAATTATATTCTTTCCCAAATGTTTGTTTCCATTAGACTTTTGAATAGCTTTATGAGACATTTCATCCAGTCTGTAGTGGCCAAATTCTTGTCCTTGGACACTTCCTCTGGCACTGCAGCTTCAGTGTAAAACTGTTCTCTTGTTTGTCACCCTTAAACATATGGATTTGTGTTTGGCCTCCTCTTAAGAGGCAGGGAGAGCACCACTCAACTGCCTCTTGTCCATGTTAAACCTTTGAAATACAGAGCTGGTCTAACAGTTTCCACAGAAGCCAGTGGCCTCCTCTTTCTCCCCCCAACATCCTCTAAATAAGCATTAAAGCTCCAACCACTGCCAATGAGGTGACCCCTCAGAATGAGTCTATTATGGTTTTTATAGAATAACACAATGTTTTCCTGTGCTTGCATTAATAGAGGAGCAGTTGCTCCTCTGCTATTAGTATTTATTTTTCAATAAACGCCTTGAACTTCCCTGTCCTGCTGCTTCCAGGGGAGATCTCAGCCCCAGCTACTCAGGGGAGTTAGCAGGGAAGCAGAGAAGGGTGAGACCTGAGGCATCCAGAGGAGGACAGTATAAAACCCCATAAATTATCATCTCATAAAGCCCCCAATCAGTGTTTATGAACTTCCTCTGCTAACACACAGGCACTTGTTTTTCCAGGATGAGAGCTCGTGTTTACTGTGAAGACTTTCTGTTCCCAAAGGTACACAGAACTATGGCAGAGCTATGGGGGATTTACTCCAAACCTGTCCCAGCAGACAGCAGAGAGCTATGCACCTTGTTCCTGCAGTGCTCCTGCATTACAGCAGTGATAGGGGGCCTCTTTTACAACTGGATGTTTGCTTCCCTGGAGTACTCCTGGCACCTCTCCATTGCCATGGCCATCTCCCTCAGCCTGCTGCTTCTCCTGACTCTCTTTCTGGTGCATCCTGCCCGTTGTGTCTTCACCATGATCATGCCCACCTTAGGCACCAAGCAGGGCCGGAAGCTTCTCTTCTCCACCTGCATCATGATTGCAGTGGTGAACATAACACCCAACATCATAAGCAACATTAAAACCATACTGCAGGTCATTCAGTGCATCTGCAAGAACTCCTCTAACAGCCTTCTGAACTCAACTGCCCTGCTACAGAAAGTTTCCTGGGAGTTTGCAGATGCAGTCCAAGAAGCCACTCATCCCATTTATAAGCCTATGAATGGACATGTTCGCTTTTCATTGTTGCAGAACAGCTCCTTGATTTACCAAAAAATGCACCTTGCTGGTGAGAAAATTAGCAGAGAGTTCTTGTCTGTTGAGGTGCTGGTCAAAGACTCAGTACGAGCAGCCAACAGACTGGCTGCTGGATTCCTCATGCTCTATCTCTGCTTTGAGTCCAGCTGGTATTTGAAAAATTATCTCACCAATGTTCGCTTTGACAATTTTTACATCACCAAGAAGCTGGAACGTTTAGCCATGGACAGAAGAGCAGCTCATCTCCTGGTGGGCTCATCAAAAAAACTCATCAGACCAACAGGCTTGAAGCTGACCAGGGAAGAGGTGGTGCTGTGCGTCGTGCAGGCCATGCTGGTCACCGTGGCCCTGATGCTGATGCTGGTGCTGGTGGCCATGGACCACTTTGCCTTCAGCGTGGCAGACACAGCGGTGAGAAAGGCAGCGCAGTTCTCTGCAGTGCCTGTCACTCTCAGCATCAAATACAGGGTGAGTCCTGGGGTGTCCTGCCCTGTGTGGGGACCCTGTGTCCCTTCAGGGAGGGGATGGTGGGGATTGTAGCCTTTGTACTCTTATTTACACAATCCTGACTTCCCTTCCCAGCAGCCAGCAGGATGAGCAACAGGCTTTGGGGAAGGAGGCAGTGGCACAACCTCAGCTGCTCCTCCCAGTGCATCAAATAGCAGCAGACACTCTGAAAGTTACAGCCCCTTGGGAGCTTGGAGGGGAGCAAATAGTGCCTCATGCTGCAAAGGCACTGCTACACCAGGCAGCCAGATGTCCCTGTGTCTCCATGTGATAGTGGTCACAGAGGTCTTCAGGTGAAGTGAGAATGTTGACTCCATGTTCAGAAGGCTTGATTTATTATTTTATGATATATATATTACATTGTAACTATACTAAAAAGAAAAAGAAGGAAAGGTTTCCTCAGAAGGCTAAGCTAAGAATTGAACAGAATGAATAACAAAGATCTGTGTCTCGGACAGAGAGTCCAAGCTATCTGGTCTGTGGTTGGCCATTAATTGTAAACATTCAAGATGGCCCAATCACAGACAAAACCTGATGCATTCCACAGCAGCAGATAACCATTGTTTACATCTTGTTGCCGAAACTGCAGCTTCTCAGAAGGAAAAATCCTAAGAAAGGATTTTTCATAAAAGATGTCTGCGACGTCTCCATGCCCCTTCCCTAAGCTAGGTGGAGGAATGGGAGTCCCTTGGACACTGTCCCCCCACTGCAGAGGGGGTGCAAGTCCAAAAGGAAGGGGGCAGCTGATGAACACACATCCTATTGCATGGGCTGTTTCTTCAGTAGAAATCCCTGCTTGCTGGCTTTGTCCTTGTCCTCTTCAATCCTTCCCACAAACCTTCCCAGTTTCTAACTCAATATTCTTTGGCTTGATGTTTGAACTTTCCTCTTCTGCCACACAGCCTGCCTCCTTCCCAAGCCCGGGATCCTTACTGCAGATACCTTCTTATGATGGATTTACAGGAAAAGAGTCAAGGCTTAGAAAAAGCCTCTAATATTCAGATATTTAGCCACTGATACCATGGTCTGTGTGGTGTCTTTCACCATAAATTTCACACATGTTATGATGTCTGTTCCAATGGATGAAGATGACACATAGGACTTGTTCTCAGCCTGCCCATTGCTCAGTGCCTGCACTTTGCACTGTTACTCAGCCTGAGGTGATCACATGTCACTACAGGACACGAAACAACACGACACACACTGCTGTGAAAAAAAAGGGAAGTTTATTTTTTGACTCTAACATTTATAGATTTCTAAATGTGACATAGGATTGGAGAATGAAAGTGCCACTTCTCCAATGACACTGGACAAATTAACAGTCTATCAAATTTCTTTTCTTCTATAAAAGAATGCAAAACAATAATTTATTTACAGAAAGTGTGTGAGAAAGTTTGTTACAAGAATGTAAACATCAGAAGGCTTGGAAAATCTTAAAATTTCAGGGCAACAATCACATCCTTCAGTGTCCTTCTCTTAGTGCTGTAACACTGATTCCAGCCCCCCAGATGTTTTTGTAGTAACCAATTGATTTTGTTTTCTTCATACCCCAAATGGTTTCTTCATACCAAAATGGATTTACATTTCAACTCTCCTTTTTTCAGGCTGAAATGGGAATCGTGCCCTTTCTATACAAACTTTTCTGGCGTCCTCCTGAGTCCTTGCTGCTCAGGGACTTCGACAAGACCTACCACCACCAGCTGATCTTCAGCTCTGCCCAGTGCAGGATCAGCCCCCCCGGGCCCCCCAGCCCCTCAGTGCTGCTGGTTGTGGGGCTGCTCTTCTGCATCCTCTACAGCTCCGCGCTGCTGGAGCCCTTCGCGCGCCGCCTGTGCCGCGGCATCGCCGCCTCCTTCTTCCAGGGCCGCGAGGACCAGAGAGTGCTGCACCTCTACGGGAAACTGGCCAGGAGGCACGGCAGGGAGCAAAGCCCTGCCAAGGGTGCCTGGGGAAGCCAGGGGGATGGCTGCATGGCTGGTATCACGGCACAGGCTTCCGCCGCGGGATCGCGCGGTTCATTTTCCAGAGTTCGGGAAGTGTTCGGAGCTTGGGAAAAAATAGTAAAGAAAACCCCAACAAAGCCTTAAAAAATCTCAACCCTAAAAAAGAAAAAAAAACCTGTTGAAATGTCACATTTTTACGTTAATTTGAGGAAAATGGGCTACATTTCCATTTTAATATCTATAAGAAGGTCTGAAGGGAGCTGTTGCATATCTGCAGCACTAGGCAAGGCTAACTGAGAAATAGATGGGAGTTGGGGTCAGGGAGGAGCTCATTTACCTTCTCCACCACATCTGTGCTGGAAGAAGTACATACTTCCTTTCTTTCATAAGTTATACCTTCAGGCAACAAAAATTGAAAGTCATCTGACTTGATACATTTAATTTTCAATGACTTTTTCTTTCAGGTTTTGTGCACAGAAACCTGGGTACACCAGATAGATTTAGTAGTTTATTCACCAAAGAAAGTGCCATTCCAACCTGCTGAAGTAAATTCAAGATCAATATGACCATGAGAGGCGCACCCTGGGCATGGGTGGTGGAAATCAGCACATGAGAGCTTTACAAAATCTCTTCAAAATGGCTGTTCAAAATAAAATAGAAACAAAATAGCTGCAGGACCTCAGAAGAGAATGAGAACAGTCAGTAAAGGTCAATTTGGGTGTCAATCTCTTTTCCCAAGTAAGAAGTGATAGGATGAGAGGAAACAGCCTCAAGTTGTGCCAGGAGAGATTTAGATTTTATACTAAGAAAAAAATTCTTCAAGGTTTACCAAGCACTGGCACAGGCTGCCCAGAGCAGTGGTAGGGTCACCATCCCTGAAAGGATTTAAATGACACAAAGATGTGGAATTGGGGACATGTATTAATGGTCCCCTTGGCAGTGGGTTAATGGTTGGACTTCATGGTTTTAAATGTTGGGCTGTTTCAAGCAGAGAAAATACATTATTGTATCTGAATTAATAAATGCATCACTTGGGCACCATCTGAAATGTGTTATTTTTCCTAGAGAGGCAGATTGGACACCTCTTTAGGAACCAAAGAAGAGATAAATCCCTGCCAGGTTAAAAACTAAACGACTTCACAGCTTAATTTCTTCGAAGCATATCTATTATTTTCCTCCCTTCTTCCATTAAAGTCTTCATTAAGGTAATTATTTGACATAATGCACCTCAATGAGATTAAATGACAGAAATGAAGTGGTAGCTGCTGCCAGATGCACTGAATTTTCTCATCTTCTGAGGTACCTGAAACAAGTATGTTTGGATTATATTTTTTAAGCATCTATCTTACAAAACCCTGGTGAATTCATCTCCCCAGGGTTTTCAATGCCCTGTTGTTCTGATGATTAATCCAAGCATCTTTGTGCCTCTGCAGCAGCTGGGGGCTTTGTCATGGTGTTTCTGTAGAAAATGCCTTGTGCTCTATGGTTTGGGTGAAAGTAAAAAGATTTCCACTAAATACCTAAAATTATCTGGAGCTGGGGTTCAAACAGCCGGGAGGAGAGAAGCCTTCAGACAGCAAACCATCCCAGCAGCATGCTGTCTTCCAACAAGAACAATTTGAAAAGGAGTTTTTCCTCAGGAAGACCAATCTTTTTGACATCAGCCATGTTGTCCCTGGTGCTGAATTGGGCTGTATTTAATGTTTTCCCCAGACAGGGGAACTGGCAGGAGGCAGAGCTGCTGGAAATTGCTCTGCCCTCCTGAGAGGCATTGTTCCTCAGCCAGATAAAGGTGTGACAAAACAGAAAACATTGCCATTATAAAGCTGTATTGCCCACTGGAGGGGTGAGCTGCCTTGCCAAGGTTTGCTTGATGGTGCAAGAGAGAAACGCTGAGCAGATTAACCAGCAGGAAACGTTAATTTAATCACATATTTTTTATTAAGTAGAACCAATGTACAAGTCTGGTTATTTGCTGAGGGATTTTCATCCCTCAGAGCCCTTCTACACTGACACCCTCACTCTTGCTCATCAGGGCTCTCATTGCCTTTGTTTTCAAGCCCCTGAAGCCCTTGATTCCCTTGGAATTTTGTTGCGTGTTTTAGTGAAGGGATGGAGGTGAACTGACTCCATTTCCTCAGCCTCAGGTATATTAGGTAAAATAAATGCTAAATTCTTTTTATGGCTGGCTGTAAGGCAAGAATGAATGGCCTTAATATACTGAGGTGCAAGTGTAAATAATCCAGCTCAGACAGATTCTAAGAAATATCTCATTCATAGCCACAAATCTGCATCTATCACAGCAGACAGGCAAGCAAACAAAAAACCTTTCTCCAGAAGTATTTTCTGATTTTTAAGCAAACCCCATTTTTATTTTGTTTATCCTATCTATATTATTTGCACTGTAATTGCAATGGAGAAGAGACACTTCCGTGCACCAAATTTTAGAAAAGGAAATATTACTGAACATTAATAAAAGCAAGAAAGTACTTCATCAGGTGTGCAGAATGTGCTGTACCAAGTGCTTGTTGTTACAGAGTTATGGTGTTGACATTCAGATGTCACAGAATATGAAATAACCCATAATTACAGTCTAATTGTTCTGCCAGAGTTTTTATTCCTTTGTAATATCACACCAAGAGCTTTTATCTCCTCTCAGCATTATTGTGGCTGTTATCCCCCCAGGATGCCCCTCCAGCATTCATCCACCCAGATGAGTGTTCTGGGAGCTGCCAATCTCTGTCCTGGCTACAGGCACATCCTCCCCTGCACGCTGGGATGGGAGATTGAGGTGGGATGTGTCACAGACACTGCCCCAAAAGCACATCAGAAGATGTGTCATTTCCACAGCACACCTCCAAGCCTTGCTGCTTCTGGCAAAGGCTCAGCTTTGGCTGCCCAAACCACTATTTCCTCTTACAGACATCAAAACTCCAGAAAGAGTGGAGCTCCCAGTGCTTCCATTTCTTTGTGCAGCCCTGAAAGCCAACACTTCCGCCTGCTTCTCTCCATTTGCTTATCCAGGCAGATTTCCTGGAGGATTGAGCACACTGGAGCAGGTGGCAGAGTTTATTGGTGAACCCTGGCCTGATGCTGTGGCTGATGCCCAGGTCCTGCAGGGCTGTGGGGTGTGCAGGTGATGCCATCCCTGCATGTTGGGCACCTCCAAGCTCCCACAGCCAGCCCAGAGCAGCACTGCTGGTGGCACAGGGTGAGGAATCCCCTGGGATGACAATGTTTGTTTTCACAGGCTGTATAAAATACACTGTGTCCCACACACACTGAAACCTGCACAGAGCATCCTTTCCCATTCTGGTATTCTCTGCAGAGCTAGATAAATGCCCAGTGGTTTTGGTTCATTGACTCCATTGAGTTCACTGGACTCAAATCAGTCCAGTGCATGTTGCTGCAGATTTATTATTTTGGGGTTTTTTTACTATTCAGGCTGCTCAGCCCTTCCAGGAGCCACCTGGAGCAAGCAGAGTTTGAAGGATGCACTTATCAAAATATTAGTAGGGACATACTCAGAAATGAGAGGCTTGTGAATGGCTGGCCCAGGCCAAGCCCCTCATTTGCAATATCTGTTTTCATCTGTTTGGTAACTCTGGGGCAGTGAGAGGCTTTTTCCTTGAGGTCTCAGGCTGCAAACATAGTAAGGAAGCAAGGGAAGGGTGAAGGGATAATTTTCCTGTTTGTGAAATGGCCTCACTTGACTTTCTTTAAAAGCTCAAATTACAGTTATTAACTGAAGAAAAATCACCAGTTCCTTTGTGTCCTGAAGGCATTTGCAAGACACAGTGCATCACAGATTGAACAGCAACAGATCTTTAAAAGAGATTATTCAAACCAGAGAGGAAGGTACACAGAACCAGGAGGAAACTCTGCCAGTGAGACAGGGAAGAGAGGATCCTGAGAGGACCCACAGAGCTGCCTGTGCTCCCTGAACCTGGAATTAACAAACTCTGTCCTCATATGAGCATGGGGAAGCATCCTTTCCCTGGGACAGCTCTTCCCAGGCTCCATGTTCCAATGAGAGGTTGGAGCCCCTGGCACCTCCAGGTCCATCAGGCACCCCCTGGCCCCCAGGAAATGCTGCCTGTGTTGGTACCTGAGAGGAGAGCCTGAGGATATTCTCAGCTTCAAACCTGGAATGGTTTCACCCACAGAAATCCACATCACTGCCTCCCTCTTGATTGTTTTCCATTCCTTCAGTCTTCAGCATCTTCCATAAAGGTGCTCCCTTCCACATTGCTGGCACGGATGTGATGCCACCAGGTCTGTGAGCTGCTCCCTCTAGGGCTGTTCACAGAAACCAGTAGAAAACCACCAGAGTTTGAGATTTTTTTTTTTTTTCACATTTTTGTGTTCATGAAGCACAAACCCAGATCAATTTTGCACCTGTTTAATTCCTTGACAGCTGCCTTTTTTGCTTGATCTCTGAGGGCAATAACCCAGAAAGCCCCAGAGCAATTTACTTATTACCTGTGACTCTGAAACAGTGAAGGTGATTTTGACAGAACTTCTCTCTCCTTTGTCTTTCTGACTGAACAATCCCTGCTGCTTTTACCAGACTGGCCCATTCCCCATCTCCATTGGCACCTGTCAGCCCTCAGGCTGCTCAGCAGAGCCACCAGCACCCTCCTGCCTGCTCCCTGCTGAGCTGCAGGAGTGCACAAGTGGGAATCACTTCCCCACCACCACTCACAACTCAAAATTTGGCCATTGCCTAAACCCTGTCACCAGTGTTTCAAAATCACTTGTGGTTTCTGTAATTGCACTTCTCCACATTCACTGGCACCACATGGACACTGCCACCTCTGTGTCCCAGCTCTAGCAGCAGAAGTTTTATGGGTTTAATATTTGTAGCAATGAAGCCCAAGGGAACAGAAAGAAGTTTTTTGCAGATTTAGGTAGGAGGATCACTTTCTTTTAGCTCTGTTTGTTTAATATACGAAACCTCAGAGTTTTTTCTGTTCATAGGACTAAGGGAGCTGCCCAGTGAGGCTGTGTGAGAGGGATGAGCTGCAAGAAAACTTCATGGACATCCTGAAGGCAGTAAGGAGCTGCCTGAGCACCCAGCCTGGGCACAGTGCTGCTCACCTGGCCACGGAGCTGCACAGACACCTGTCACACACATCTTTTAT